AACATTAAAAAATATTGGGATTCGAACCTGGGCTGTATTACATGTTAGGCAGATGTGTTAACCACTAGGCCACAGGCTCTTCTCCTTTATCAGCTGAGCCAGGGTAATAGGTATGTAATTAGTGTCACAACCCCCTGGTATGCCCAAATATGGGCAGAGAATGGGTTTCCATTCTCTGTCCATCCGCTCGTCACAAGAGACCATCCAGACAGAAACCCAATATTTTTTAATGTTGCCTTTTGTTACATTTGTGTTGTATTTGTGCTGATAAATAAATAAAGGGAGACTAGTATAGATCTATTTCAAGCTATTTAGCTCTCATCAGCTAGCCATGCCATATATTTTTAATACATATATTAAAAAATATTGGGTTTCTGTCTGGATAAACTCCAAACCTTGGGAAGTATTCATTCACTCTGCTTGCCCAACATTATAGCAAACTCATTGTATGATGTAAAGGACAGGAGGCTACTATTTCTTTCCATCGTCTACGTACATCCACAGTTAACAGCTGTAAAAATTATGAAATAACCTGATTCTCAAAAAGATCTTCCTGTAGTTCCTTCCACATTTCTAGTTCAAGTGCTGCTTTATATTCCAGAGTTTCTCTTGGTTCAGTATGGACTTCAGGCTGTACTTTAGGAACACCTAGTACCTCATCGGCACCTAAACACTAAACATGGGATAAAATAAATATTTTCAAATGATTTATAATGAAATGCTTTCTCTCTTAACTTAAAATGATACATATTTATTTACCCGAGAAGAATCAGACACCACTACTTCGTGCATTTTCACCAGTCCATAATCTTCTAGAGTCACTATATATGAAAGATCTGCAATCTTGTTGCTTGGCCTGTAAAGCAATAACACATTTCTTTTTTCATTCAGCTATAAAAGAAAGTTCTTGAACTTTCACAATAAAGAGAAACAGAAACATTTTTCAATGATAAAACTACATAGCTATCATATTTTGACATTACACAGGATTTCCCTCTTAATCATGGAAATATGTTGTTTTTTAATTTCATTCTTTTATATTGTTGTTCTTAAGAATTGCCCAGAGTCTTCTAAAAGTTCAGGTTCTTACATCTTGACCTGATTTTTAAAAAATTGAGATAACTTGGTACATGCTGAAAGACCAATAGCATTTGCAAGATGTGTTACATTTAAACAAAAAGTAGTGAATTATTTTGCATCACATTTGCTTGTCCATGCTTCACTAGGAAACTGAGATGATGACTATTAATCCTATATATTAGCTAGTATTTTAATAATGTATCAAATGTCCTAAATTCTACTAATATTTCTTTATCTTAGATATATACATATATATTTCACTTGTATATAGCCACACATCCTAATTTAATCAGTCCATATAAGAATACTAATGTTTTAAGAACAAAAGTTTTAGCCTTTTAAAGATACTATTTCTTTTTCTGAACAATTAGGAAAACCAGTTTAAAAATCTAAACCAATTGTAAAATCTGCCAAGTATGGATGTAGGTTGGCGTATCTTGATGAATTATAGGCTCTTTTAATTGTTTTGGTTGAGTAAAACAATGAAATCCTCACTCAGCAAAACCTTTATTTGCAGTTTACATTCCCCACTCATTTTCATTAATACCTAATAATGCAAGTAAAATAAAATATTGAGTATCTAAATATAAGAAAAATTATAAATATAAATAGTCCAACCTAAGCAGAGAACTATAGTCACTTCATTGCATTAGAAAATTGAAAATTGAAGAAAATAATTATTTCTCTGAGTCAGTGTCCATAAAGCTAATTAGATCTGAAGCAGTGCCATCTAGTGGCTATTATATTCAGCTACACTGCGATTCATGATTTATCTTACTAACAATACAAGGATATCAAATCTGAATGATCAACTACGTTACAATTCGTAATTCAAACATATTTTAAAATGAAAAAAAATGTACAAAGTACTAATGCATTGTATTAAGTTATTAAATGAATAATAAACAATGAAATAAATTATTATTAAATAGTCCATACATCATATTTGTTGAGGATGAGAAACATTAATCCATGCTATTATAAAGAATTGGCTTTATTGCAGGAACCCCAATTTTTCAAAATATTACCCTTGTGCTGCTGTAAAAGGAATAGTTTCACTGAAAGTCTGACGCCAACACTGCTCGCCATTTCCTCCCAGAAAACGTGTTTTTTCCATGGACAAAACCTTCGAAAGCTGGAGTCTTGCAACTCCTAGAAGCAAGTCTTTAGTTGTTTTATCTTTATGCCACAGTTCCACTAGCAATGGTAACCTGAAATGCAGGAAGAAAATAGGTAATTTATCACTTTTTTGTATGTCTTCCCCTACTTGTCTCAGTGGAAGTATGCATCTTTTATTTTTCCGATGTACTTTGCATGGAATTAAGGTGAAAGGTATAAGTAGTTTAAACCAGTTATACAAAAGAACACAAGAATGCAGTAAACAATTATATTTTTCCACAAGTTAATGCATTTTAATTAAATTGTTTATATATAAACAAATAAGCACAAATAAATGCAAAAAGGCTTTAAAAGTACAATCACTTGAAATGTAAAGATACTCATATTGTGATTTAGCCAATTGCTATGGCAATTCATTCTAAAAGAAATCCTAGTATTATTAATATATTTTTAGACTTCATCTGCCATTTTACGTTTTACAATTCTAAAAATAGGAGGCAATTCTAGATTGGAAATTCAATGTAGTTGTTATTTTAATTTTTCCATTCCTAAATGTTTAACTATTGACATTTGAAAGCTCATTGTAACATATTTGCATTGTCACAACAGCTGTCAGGGTTCATAAACACACTCTTGATATATTTACTTTTTCAATTAACAAGTATTATTTCCTAAAAGTACATTCAGTTTAAAATAAGCATTAGTAGTTTTATAGCCTTCAATTGTTTAATCTGGGTCACAACATGATAAAATACAGAATCCTTTTCATGATAGTAGCAGGCAAAGCCTGGAATACTAGACATATAGTAAAATCTTTTTTTCCACCATGAATTTCATTACCTGGCATGCTCCTCCCAAGAATAACTTTTTTAAATGTGCCTGTTGGTGGCTACAAACAAGAATGACATTTTAACCAGTTAAGGGGCTGATGAATAGTAGAATAGTAGTACTGATATGTCAATAAGGAACACTTCCTCCTTCCGAGATTAGAAGGACAAACCTAAATGTCCATTAAACTGTTGAAGCAGGAGAAAAAAGTTAAATTGACATGGCCATAAGGGCCTACATATTGTGTTAACAGAGAAATATTGTTTAAAATGGCTGTGTTCCAATATACAGTACAGATTTTTTATTTACCTGCTCTGGATGGTATGCCCTGGAAGCTTCTGGTATGGAGCATGAAACTCCGTGTAAGAATCCCTTGATGAGTGAATGTGTTTAGGTTAGTCTTAATGTTATTCTTAAATACCTCTATGCAAATAGGAATAGTAACTTGAATCATCAGGCTTGCTTTTAAAAAGCCAAGGGATCAGAGGGAGATTCAAGGAAGATTACTCGTGTAGCAACTCAATCTAGCAACAGAAATCCAGATGGAGGGTGGTCCCACCAATCTCATGGTGAGGGAAATATTCTCCACTATGCTGCTCCAATTCATCTGGTTTCAAAAAAAGGATTAAGCAACTTTACAGCCAAAAGTGGTAGCCCTTGCCTTCTCCTATGCAACTGACAAAAATACTTGGTATGAGTAGGAGAAATAGACTGAATAATGTTTCCCAATAAGGGTGTGCTTGAAGGACTTAACTGAAATAGCAACTCTAGCCATTTAAGATTCTTCTGATATAATCAGAAAGTCAGGGATTTCCTGTCCAGACAGAAAAGGGAAATTGAGATTTTAAAATATGGATGTAGAAAAATAAGACAATGTAAATTTAGTGAAGAGTAAAAACAGGGCGGGACATTGCTATCTAAGTGATACAAAAGAAAACTATTTGATCTTGCCTACTAGAGCAATGGTAAGATATGCATACTATTTCAATCAGAAATGAAGACACTATTAAATACTACCTGGGCTCTGGAGCTGGCAGTTGGCAGCACAGTATTGAGCTGCTTACGTGCTTTCTGTGGGGAAGGTACCAATTGATGTTAATTGGGAGTGAGAAGGTCCTGCCCTCGATCTATGTAGAGTTCTGCTGGGTTTGGTAGTAATCTCTCTAATCCTTTTTAATATATAAATGAAGCTGCTAAGTGAAATAATCTGTTGCCATGGGGTGAGGAATGCTGATGATACTCAGTTATACAGTATATCTCTATCCCTGGCAGAGATATGTGATTGACATTTTGTCATAGTGTAGGAAGTTGCAGGAGTTTGTATGGGAAGCTTCAGCTGAACTCTGGCCAGACTGTCTGGTTCTGAATTTGGAGGCCTTCTGGTTTTGGGACTTTACCATCCTTGGTACTTGATGAAGTGGTACTGCCCCAGACAGACCCAGTATGCAATATGGGTTTCTTCTAGATTCACAACTCCTACTTTGCACAGCTTCGTGTTGTGTATCACTTGTGTCCCTTCCTGGAATGTGAAGCTCTACTTACTCATACGTTCACCTTCAGAACAGATTATTGTAAAATGCTCTAGGGGCGGTTGCCCTTCAGTAGCTTCAGCTGGTGCAATTGAATTTTGTACCTTAATTTGATCTGTACTTGGAAGTTTTTACCTGTTTTTCACTGTTTTTAATTTATGCTGTTATTCATGTCTTTAAATGGTTTTATTATAATGGTGTAAACTGTCCAGAGTCACTTAGATTAGATAGGTGGTACATAAATTTAATAACTAAATAAAACTATTAAATTCAATACTTTCTCTGCGTTTTCATTGTAACATTACAACACTAAATTTTTAGTGTTAAGTTTCTGCAATATATTCTTATCTCTGAAAGTAATATCACAAACTTCTGTGAGGCAATTAGGGTGCCAGACTCTTATCTGCCACCTGGCTGAGTCTTTGATGACAATTTGATCTATTTTTTTTCTGTTTGTTAATTTAGTATTGGCATAAATTCTGTTGTAAATTCTATGATTGGCATAAAGTTGTAAATTCTGCTCCCCATACAAAGGTAGGATCACATACTTTTAAAAGAACCATAATTTCTTTTTAAAAACACATCACACAAACGTAGGGACAAGATACATATGCTATCTGACAAACAAGTAATTTAGAACAAATTTTAAATGGTAAACATTTTAGTATGGGAAACTTAGTTTGCATAAAAAAGAATATATTAATGTATATTATTAAAACAATATCTCAGTACATAAGTTACCTGCAAAAGGTATCTTGAAGCTGATAGGGCATAGTTGCAAAATCAAATGCACAGTAAGACTGTGGAAGAAATACTTCCATGTTTTTTCTTACTTCCACAGGAGGATTTGTCATAATGGGTGCAGCACTGCCAAAAAATGGGTATGAATACCTATGGAGGAAGACAAAATTATTATCAAATCAACCTGACCAGTAATTTTAAGCAAATTTCAGGAAATATATTATAAATTCAAAGTACTAATAGCTTAATAAAATCTCTGAACTTGAAAATTGAAATATTCAATATTAATTACAAAATTTGTCAGGGAGACTGAAGTAATAGTAACCTCACTAGAACATCTGTACATGTTAAGTCTTGTTTTATTGCAATACATTCAGAGAAGATTGAACAGAATTCTATTTTTGAAATGGGGATTCCTTGATATAGCCACGCAGTTTATTTGATTGTGGCCTAATGTGATGTCAGTCAAATATAGCAAGGTTTATGACTTATTGATAAAATTAGCTAATTGTGCTTCATTCAACAAACCATGGTGCAGTGAGACATATAAAATCAGTCTACATAAAAGTG